TTCTTTTTTTTTAGCCCTGAACAGCTGAGAGCCTCTTACAGCGCAAACAGCCTCTAATGAGAACTAATATAAAGTTATAGAGGAATCAAAAATAGCTCAGCATCACAATAGTCATGAGCACGTCTTTGAAAACCATGGATACGCCGTAGTAGCAGCAGTTGCCGTAGCAACAAAAACAAACCTTTCTTAGTTGCTCTTAAGATCTCCAACCAGAAATCAGGTGTTTTCACAATGTTTCTGCTGCTGTGGAACGTCGTTTTCATCGGCTGTAGGAGCTTTAAGATGTTTGTCAGCCTTACCATGATTTGAGTTAAATATTTGCTCCAGCTTCCAAATATTCACTGATTCTTTCCTTCATAATATTAAACGAAGTTGACTGTTTACTGTGATATTTTTTTCTTCTTCTTTTTTTTTTATTCCAGTGAGACTACCTGCCATCTTTTTACCCTTTGACACGGTCTGCACCACTGGTGAAGCTTTCAGACACTGTGACATGTGAACTGTTGGCCGGTGAAGGAAAACTCTTATGTAAATGCGCAACAAAAGTACACTAAATATTCAAATTACTAAAGTAATAATTGGCTACTGATACTCATAAAAAGAAGAAATTCTGATTAGTAGCAATCTGGAAAAAGTAGGTCATATGTCTTTATTTACACTTGATGAAAAACGGCGTGCTTATTGATACTTTTCTCAGTGTTCAGTGGAGAAAAATCTTTATCGGAATTGCACGAATCAAACCCTTTTAGTCGATTAATTTAACATGCTGGTCCGATTAAAATGTCACTCTAAACCTAAATGTGATTTTAGGTTTAATAACTCGGCGGTTGATGAGAAAAACTTCTAAATAAATAGACACGAGACAGAACTCCACTTTACCCCGATTTAATTCTGTAATTCATTCATAAATTACTGGAATAAAAAAAAAATAAACAATCAAATTTGACTCTACTTATAATGCTCTTTATGACATTATTTACATTTTGAAAGCCACTTTCGAAATCTGCATCGATGCAGACGGTGGGATGTGTCTCTCTCGCCAAAAACTCTTGTGTCTGTGGACGAGAGGTGCAAACTGTGCAGAAAATCTCAGCTTTGCAAAAACTCGGTGGGCGCATGGTGGGCCTGTGTGTTTGGTGACATAATTCAAACATTTCTAACAAGTGGAGCAGCCAGACAATCTTCACAATCTTCCAGCAACAAACACTTTTAAAACAAATCAGTCTAATCTGCCACAATGCTGCAATATACATATATATTTATTTGTTAATTTTTATTTTTATTTTTTATCAAAATCATGTGAGTGCGTCGTTTGTCATTCTAAATAACTTAAAAGACTGTTAGCCTTTTATGTCTTATCTAAGCGTGCGTCACTGCTAAATGTGAGTCACTTCTCTCTGGGCTGAAACGGAGCCATTCCTTACGACTCCTCCTCAACATACAGAAAGAAATGCATTTCATCTAAGCCGCGTTTCCAACCAGTGCAATTACATCCCGCTCAGGCTGCAGCGCTGAGCTTCATTGTTTGTGTCGTTGGGTGTTCTGCTAAAGTGACTGAGCGCCCTTTGCTTCATAATATTTTAATTGGCCCATTTAAAACATCATCTGGCAACTAGGTGGTAAAAATATCTGCAGGAACTCGCAGAGACAGAGTCGCCGCTTTGAACAACTGGAGTTAAACAGTCCCGAGCCGGGACTGTTTGCAGGATTTATTGGGTCTGCAATAAATCTTCTTGGGTTTGAAGATTTATTAGTTTTTATGAAAACTGCCCAACAGTAGATGAGATTTGATTGGTTGGAGAGACCAAACCAGGTTGACAAAATAAAAATGCTCTTACATAAACTGCTGAACTTTGAAGGAACAGTAACTGTGTTAACTTCAGTTACTCTGCGTCATGATTTAACTTCTTGAATTTGGTTCTCTGTCTCTTTAAAAACTCCTGCTCTCTCTGGCAACCCGTCGTCAGAAAGTCAGCTCAACACCGCTCCTCTATTACATTTTTAACGACGTTTTGACGAGGCGTAGCTCGGCTGATGCGCAGCTCAACCGGGTGTTTGCTAATTGCTGCCGGCTAGTCTGAAGGAGCCGAGTGTGGGGAATCATGGGAAGGGCTGCTCTGTGAGGCGTAAGCTTGGAAACTTTTTTGATTGAAACTAATTTGTTTTAACGCTTTGAAATGTTACTGCTTATCATTTATAGCCTTTGAAGAAGAATATGCGGTAAATTCCCTGTCAGTGTTTATCCAAGCTGCACCTCATTTCTTGAGGAGTCCGCCTCTGACGGGGCTTCACCCGACACAACCTCTCAGGATGCATGCTGTGAAAGCTTTACTAACTCTGCTGAGTGCTAGAGTGGGTCTGAGGAGCTAAACTACAGTGATGGACTGTGACATTTATTTAAGTCGCCTGAAGAGATTTTAAACAAGCTGGAGAATATAGTGGGGTGTCATTTCACTGCCTTCTTGCAAAGAGGCAGTAAAAACCATTTGCATCGGTTTACTCCGAGCAACACCTTCTGTTCACCGAAGCTAAAGGCACATACATCACCATCTGCTCCCACCTACGAGCAGAACGAGCCAGCTTCACTGCAGCTATTTAGTTTTTCAATAAATTGAGATTTTGCTGAGATGAGAAGAGATTTTGTTGTTGTTTTGTTTTGTTTTCTCTACACCGCTCTAAGAGCATTTGGATGCAGACGAGCGTTTGCAAGTTACCTGCTCCTCTAAACGGCGTGTGACGTGTTGAGGAGACGCATCGCCACAGGTGACGGTACAAACCTTTCCTCCAGCATCAGCATGCGGTTCGAAACTGTCTCGTCTCCGCAGGAGCACTTCTCTCTGCCGAGCCGCTCCTCCGGCACTCCCTGTCCTCGGGCTCGCAATCTAATCTCTTTTATTTCCCCTCCAAGGTTTGACACAATCATCCCGTCAAGCCTGCCCCTCATAATCATAACAGGCAATCATGCACCTATAAAACTAAATGAACGCTGTCTATAATGACGGCAATATCGCTCGCGTCGCTGCCACTCCAGCTTTAAAGATGTAGATCGGGATATTTTCCGAGTGAGAACAAGTGGATGGTTAAAGACGCACACGTTCGGGGATGGTAATGATAAAACCTTAACAAAACCTGGTGACCTTTTTAGAGCCATAAATAGCCATTACTGACACATTTTTCTTAGGCATGTTGACATTCTGACATTGGGAATCAGTTGAAAATGTTTGTTTATTGTAATAAATGCAACAGGGATATCGCTTCTCTTGAGGTTTGTTTGTTTTTTTAGTGTCATGGTTCCAAGTTTTACAGTATTTTAAGGTATTTGTTGATGATAATTTTTGTTTTAGTTTACCACCATCTTTTAATCACTTTATTTTCTGGAAATTCTAACAAAAAAAGAAAACAACAACACTCCCTTATCTTCCTTCCTTCCTCAGGTGTAGAGGAATCTCCTGCTCTTGTACTTCTCTTTCTTTTAACGAGTCTATAGCCCTACTTCACATATTTCCCCAATTTTCTCATGAAAACAATTGGCTAAAATATCACCAAATACCATATTTTAAAAGAAAAACAAACTCTTTTCAATCATCTTCACATCCTTGTTCTTCCCAGACAGATTTTGAAAGAGGAGTTGCCTTCATCTTCGTTTTATGCAGGGTTTTGTCTCCATTACCTTCGTGCTAATATGGAAGCATCAAACTTAATACCATTGGAGTTAGAAACCCTAACCACCTGCAAAATATATGAGACTCCCTTCAAAAATGGTTAAAACTGCCTGTTTTAATTGTTCTAACACCAAATATACCTCAATATGCACTGATAAGCACAGTGGGAACTGTCTCTGCACTGCCACACAAGCTAACGCTGTTAGCCACACAAGCTAACACTGTTAGCCACACAAGCTAACACTGTTAGCCATATAAGCTAACAGTGTTTCTTGTTTCCCCTCTTGGTGGCACAACCAACTTGCACCAACCAAAATGAACGGCTTGTTTTAACCATTTTATTTTGATTCCTCTTCTAACTCGGACTTATAGTAGAAATCCCAGTTCAATTTATCTTTTCTTATCAATTCATTAGGCTAGATATTTTACTTATTTCATAATTCGAGGTGTCTGTGTTTGCATAACTGATTCTCTGTTCACTTTTAGACACCAAAACACAATTTAGGATCCTACTAATATATAACTTTCTTGCAATAATTTTTTTTTCTGTGTTGTATTTGTTGATGCCTCTTGGTCAGGAATCCATTCAGAAACATGATTTTAACATAAAGCTTAAACAAATAATTAAATAAATACACTATAAATACACATTTTACCTCTCCAACTTTTAATAAACAAACTTGTTTAATCAGTAAGGAAATAATCTCAAGTGATTATTTGACGTGTAACTTATCTTTGTTATCATAGAAATATATCCTACATTGAAAGGTTAAGTTCCCTCTTACATTTTCTTTGATTTACTTTTTGCAGGACAAAATAGATAATTAATCTAATCAGCTAAACAGTGTTTAATTGAATCCACTAATTGTGCCTTTTAACCCTTTACCTGAAAAACAAAACAGAACAAAAACAAGAAACCAATCTAGTCAATAATCACTGATGGATTTAATGGTGTTTTAGGTTCCAGGCAGCACAAAACACCAACTTCATAGGAACTATGAAGTAATGAATTTAATATGATTTCAACTGCATAACATTTGTTTTAAATCTCCATTATTGTTTAGTCTTGTTACACAACTGGTCAGTTTCAGTCATTTTTACTTTGGAGAGTGAGTTTGATCATTTGGCCAGTAGTCTATTTAAGGATGAAATTGAGACTTTGCGTTTTCTCTGTGCTATATATAACCCTCCAGACTAAAACACCCGCCACCCCACCACCCACAGCAGACACAAATCAACATCGGGAAGGCTCAAAACAACAAATAAAAGCCATTGGTGTGTGTATATATATATATACCCAACTTCCCTTTATGGTCTATATCTATGATGAGTGTACAATTGCGTGGATTTTTGGAGTCTAATTGTCCATTCATTCATCCCGGACTCCTGATGCGCAGTCAGGAGGACCAGCCGTGCGTGTAGCGCCGCTTGTGAACGTCTCCTCCCCTGTTTCTGCAGTGTTACAGCTCTCGCTTCTCCGCTCATCGCGCTTCTTATGCCAATGCTGCCCACGCCGCAAGAGTAAGGCGAGCCTTCTTCCTTTTTGCACAGCACCTCAACTTCTCTCCCTGTCTGCCACCATCCCTCCGCTTGATGTCCATCTTGTCCTGATCCATGCTCCGTGCCGTTTTGCGTCCTCTCGATTCTACACCATCCATTCACGCCTACTCTCATGTGCGGTCCTTGGTTCTTTTCTTTCTTTCTTTCTTTCTTTCTTTCTTTCTTTCTTTCTTTCTTTCTTTCTTTTTTTTGGCGTTACCAGCTTAGACAGAAGAGCGAAGGATTTTTTTTTTCCCCCGGCTTTCCAAAGAAAATGTTTTTCGTCTTTATTTTCGTAAACTGGCGAATCTCATGAAATTTTCTCTGGTTGAAGCTGAGGGAACGAGGATAGACCCAGCAATTTAATTTATTATTTTTACGCATCAACAATCGCCCCTATAGTCTAAAGAGAAGAAAGCTGATTTATTTTTATTTTTATTTTACTTTAGAAATTAAATAATAACAATAAAAGCAATAGCTTTGGTGGAAGATGGTTCAAAAAGCAAATCAGTGAGGGGAAGTGATCGGACTGCCTTAAGTTTGCTGAGGTAGGGTTAACTGTCAGGAAAACATCGAGGAAACGGAGTGGGAAGCGACGCGGCATTTCCAAGACGCCAGCGCAACAAGCCAGCAGCATCACACCAGCCCGCTGCGTGGATGGCACACAGGCTGCCTCTCCGCGCTCAGGTGGTGCAGGGTGGCCACGGTGAGACCGGGATCCAGTCGGGCTTCGGGGCTTTCTGTGAGTATCTGTGCCACAGCTGTGTGCACCGACCGGACCGCTCTCTCCTGCTTGGATTATCAGCAATCCACTTGATCTCCATTCTCCTTTGTAGTTTGACTCTATTTTTTTTTAACCGTCTTCAACACGCAACTGTGCGTTTCATTATCAGTATTATTATTTGTGTTTTTTCGTTCCCCCAGGTGACATTTATTTATTAATGTAAATAAGCTCATTAAAACTCTGTACTAACGTGGATTGCTTCCTTGTACATTTTTTTTGTACAACACTCTCCGCAATTTGTTGATGACAGATGAATTGTGTCTCCACAGAGCAACATGAGGGAGAAGTTCATCTCCTGAGGCTACAACTTCTACACCGGGCTGACTCAACTGACAACTGCGTCCAGGTGAGTAATGTGGTGATAAAATGTAATATAATGCAAGGAATAAAGCAAATTCCATGCCTCTAAAAAAAGAAACCCGAACTGTATTAAATCCATCTTTTTATTCCTGACGCTAGAAATTACATGCTAAGCAATAATTGTTTGTATATGTAAAAGCCAGTGTTTGTTACAACCATTTTCTGCCAATAGAAGAGAACTTGGTAACACTTCAGAAGGTTGGAGCATAAAGAGAGAAGGACCTTTGACCTTTTGTCTTGGACAGGCCTTCTAGTTCGTCCACTTCGTCCTTTTTCTTCAGCTTTCTATGGGAGGCTCAGTGCCAATAAAAAGTATTCTCCCCCTTGGATGTTTTGGCCTTTTTGTTGATTTTACAAATCAATCATAGTGAACAAAGGTGACTGATGTAGTTTAACAGAGGTCCACCCAATTGGTGCTGAGTGGATGGAGACTTCCTGAATGCACTGACTGTGTCTGCAGTGATGGTAGCATAAAGTTGCCTGAGTCTGGAAGATCCAGTCACTGGCTGCTATTACAGCATGAAGACTAAAGAACGCGCCAAGCAAAGCAGACTTAAAGCTATTGACTGGTATAAATCTGGGGATGGATACCAAAAATCCTTATGGCACTGAATATCTGAATGTGTGGCAAATTTGTGAATCTGGTTCAAACAAAAATATTTGTCCTACTAGCCTGGCTCTGATAACCATCCATTCCAAACGCACAAAAAGCAAATCCTACATGGAAATTGGACAAAAACAACAACTAACCAGCTGTTTTGATGAATTTATAGTCTTTTTTTTTTTACTTTGCAACTATATCATCTTTTTCTAAAATCTTGGCTTCCTCTTTGCTTATCTGTTTGGACATGAACATATTTTAGTGGCAAATATTTTTTAACGAACCGCTAAGTGCATATAATTTCCTCATGGTTTCTTGTAACATTGTAAATAGATCGGGAGATTCTTTGTTATTTAAAGTTGCAACGTTTTGCTGCTAATTGATTGGGATGAGGCTCAAATAACACACATATGCTCCTGGTTTGGGACAGGAAGTTGTTTTCTGTAACTCCTCCCAAGCAACCAGGTGGCGCGACAGAGACTTGCTGACCCCACTTTGCCACTTTTTGCTCAAAGTGAGTTCCAACGTGTTGCACGATAAACTTGAGTAAAACCTGCGAAACCAATATTTATGTAACTTTACCAGGGGCGCCAACTAAATTCATTAATTTAGTCAAAGCTCCTTTGTTTTTTTCCTTCGTCTTGGTGATTTTCCTTCATGGCATTTGCGAGAACTCTCGATTCTTACCGTGACTGTGTGTGCACACTTACACAGACAGACTCAAAACAAGAGCAAGCAGGCATCAAAATGACTCATTATGTGCAAGTGTTTATTTGCTGACCTTTGAACCTCTGCTTGGCAGAAAGAAAAATGTCAGAGGATTAAATCGTCACGGTTTAACTCGGTCTGTGCTACTTTTCTGTTCATTTTATTGTTTTAAAAACTGACATGAGTTTTTATTTATTTTTTTATGAAATCTTAAGGGAACATCCTGCTGGGCTCAACAGCAGTGATGAATACTTTTTTTAAAAAATAAGTCAATTTTATAACCCCTCAATACAGAGAGCTAGAGTTTACTCTGGTAACATACATTACAATAAGTCTTATTTTCTCTTTTTACATTTTTCTTGCTTCCGTTTACCTTTTGCTTTAGGATGCAATCGAATGTCCTGCAGCTCTGTGGGACAATAAAATATATTTCTATTCTCCTCTAACTGGTATTCTCCCACATAATCAATGAAATGAGAAGAAGGTTAAATATTTCACTCTTTGACTTCAAAACTCCAGTGAAACAAGAGATGAATCTTATTTATCTGCTACTACTTGTTCATGTTTTTTTGTTGTTGTTGCGAGAAATCCACTGCAGAACAACGAAGGAACCACACAGACTCTGTGGCTTGATACCGTAGTCAAAAGAAGTGTGTGGATTTCAGCACCACTACCAGTTGGAAAGCTTGCCTTTGCCATAGAAACGTCACCCACTCACACATTTGTGCAGGCTTGTGTGCCAGATGAAAGGGACTGCATTTTATTTTATGCATCTGCAGCCGAGCAGGGGGAACTGTGCCGGTTCGACTTGCTTTGTTGCCATCTGCAGCGCCGAACCCTGCTGGCATTTGGCTCACTGCGATGAGCATACAGGTGTTGTTAAGCCGTTACACTGGGATGCACAAATACAGTCGGCTTATTTCCCTCATGAGCTGCAGTTAAAAAAATAAAAATAAATAATTCCAGCTTAATTTGTGCATCTGTGTTCCCTGCCCTCCCCTCGCCCCGTGAAATGAAATCTCGATGGGGAAACGTGCTCCTCCTGTTAGGCGGGTCAGAGTGCAGGATGCAGCTCTCCTCTGCTGCATGCCAATGAGAGCCTGTGCTGTACGTAAAGCAACGTGAATCTCCCCCTGCTGCTGATGGGGGGAAACCTATTTTGGGGATGGAGGTGGTCTTAAATTTTTGATTCGGAGGCACCGGTTAAATTAATTGACGTTTCTTGGGCTGTTTCTCGCCGCTCATGCCGCTGCAGATGTTAATTCCCCGGGTGGTGTCGGCGCTGCTGCCTGGATTGTTCACTCAAAGCTGTTAAAACCCAGCTGCCACGAAAGCCACTGAAGGATTATTTTAAGGTCTTCCCCTGATATTGGCTATGTAGAGCGCAGGACTAGAGGTGTTTACTACGCTTTAGCATTAAGCAGTCTTTCCCATGCAGTTTTCATGAGCTACCGGGAGTGTTTTTCTTTTAAATAATAATGTAGAAGAGCTTACCGAGGGACCAGAGCTCTTTTCCTGCTTTCTCTTAATACCAAGAAAGATTATTTCTGGATCTTCATCTGACTACAGCGTACGCAGTGGTCTTAGTCACTTTTCCCCTCTGTACTACAGGTGCAGAGTGCAACATTTTTGCAGTTTCTCTGCACACAATGGACACATTATATGTGTAGGAGTCTAACTGGATTGTTCAGTACCCTGTGAGTCAACCAAAAGTAGCTGCCAGAGGCTTGGACTGAACAAACGGTTGGATCCCCACATCAGTTTTATATAAAAGTGCACAGCTCTGATTGCTTTTGCCTACTTTTTTTGTTTAGAGGTCATTTTAGGAAGAGAACTAAAAAGAACTGATTATGATTCATGTCTTTTATTCGCCTGCAACTTCATCCACATTTTGCTACAAACTTCAAATTATTGTGTGGTTGGATTTCATCTGATAGACCAATGCACAGTAATGAAGGAAAAGTATTCATTGTTTTCAATTTTTTTTTCCATTTTCCCCAGAACCGCATGGCATTCTGGGATATGTAAGCAGAGGAAAGGCTTTAGCCGCTCAAACTCTCACGTTTGAGTGAGTTAGTTGGTGGCATCAACCAACTCACTCACTCCTTGTTACCTAGCAACAAGTTGCTGAGTAACTTGCACAGCAGCAGTTTCAGGTTTCGCCACCTGGCCTCGAAACTGCTTAAAAATAACAATGCGGAGCGAAAACTTTGGATTAAACAGGAAAGGTCATGCAACCTCATCAGAAGTATTTCAGATATTTAAAACAATAAACTAATCAGTAATTATCCATCTCAACTGAAATGAAATGCTTATATTGTGGTATGTTTTTCAGCCATATCATCCAGTCCTACATTCAAAGTATAAAAACTTTTGTTAAGGCACTGGATCTAGAACACTCCTTCAATATTAAATCTTTTCTTTCTGTTCTCTTGCAGAGGAACCTTCCACAAACCCTCAAATGTGACACAATTTGATCTCCAGCATTAGAAGACTCCAAATCTGATCATGACTTCAGACAAACGCACCATGAGCTTACCACGACCCATCGCCCCGTGGATGTTTATCACCTTCTTGCTGGTCCTTCAGCCAGGAGTCACTCATTTCTCCCACGGCAGCTCCGGCCATGAAGACGCCGGCGACACCCCGAAGAACTGCTCCAGCGAGGACAACTGCTCAGAGGGCGTGGTGCTGCCCATGTGGAACCCCCAGAACCCTGCGGTTGGTGACAAGGTGGCTCGCGCCATTGTTTACTTTGCGGCTCTCATATACATGTTCCTGGGTATGTCCATCATCGCGGATCGTTTCATGTCTTCCATCGAGGTCATCACCTCTCAGGAAAAGGAGATCACCATCAAAAAGCCGAACGGCGAAACGACAACGACCACCGTGCGCATCTGGAATGAAACGGTGTCCAACCTGACCTTGATGGCTCTCGGCTCCTCGGCGCCAGAGATCCTGCTGTCTGTCATCGAAGTGGTCGGCCACAACTTTGAAGCTGGATCTCTGGGGCCCAGCACCATTGTGGGCAGCGCCGCGTTCAACATGTTTATTATTATCGCCATTTGTGTCTACGTGGTGCCAGAGAACGAGACCCGCAAGATAAAGCACCTGCGGGTGTTTTTTGTCACTGCCGCCTGGAGCGTGTTCGCCTACATCTGGCTGTACCTGATCCTGTCTGTCTTCTCTCCTGGGGAGGTCGAGGTCTGGGAGGCGGTCCTCACCTTCCTCTTCTTCCCTCTCTGCGTGCTGCAAGCCTGGATCGCAGACCGACGCCTGCTCTTCTACAAGTACGTCAGCAAGCGCTACCGCACCGACAAGAACCGAGGCATCATCATCGAGTCCGAAGGTGATGCCATGTTCACCAAAATGGACCTGGAGATGGACGGACAGGGCACGAACTCCCACCTTCACAACAAGGAGGCTCTGGATGGGATGCTGGAGGGGGTGGAGGAGGGTGGAGGGATGAGTGCCGAGCAGGACCAAGAGGAAGAGGCCCGCCGGGAGATGGCGCGCACCTTGAAGGACCTAAAACAGAGGCATCCAGACAAAGACATGGAGCAGCTGATTGAGATGGCCAACTACCAAGTGCTGGTGCAGCAGCAGAAGAGCCGGGCCTTCTATCGCATTCAGGCCACGCGCATGATGATCGGAGCTGGGAACATCCTGAAAAAGCACGCGGCTGACCAGGCCAGGAAAGTGGTGAGCTGTCATGAGGCCAGCGGGCAGGAGGAAGATCCCAACACCATCTACCTGCAGTTCGACCCCTCTCACTACCAGTGCTTTGAGAACTGCGGGTCCTTGAAGCTGACGGTGAGCCGCCATGGAGGAGAGGCCGGCTGCACAGTTAAGGTGAGAGCTAGAACCCAGTGACCTTGAACTTGTCCTGAGTTCAATGATGATGGTGTTCCTGGGATTGAGAATGTACATGGTGTTTTTACCATGAAAAGCACTATGAACTGCCTTGTTACTCAAATATGTGACATAAATAAACTTGACTTGACATGACAGGTAAGGTGGAATCAATGCAGCCACACTTCTTAGATATTTATTTGCAAAACATAATAAAATAAAGCCATATGTATACACTACTTTGTCTTAGGCACTTAAAATTCTAATGAAATACATCGTAAGGGTCAAATGTATGAAAACTGTTGCCAGGCTGTGTAAATGTGAAAATCTTCCAAATCCTCAGTGTGAAATAAAAACCAACCCAAACTACTTAAGCTATGAAATATTAACCAGTCAGCAATTTGCTAAAGCTCCACTCTCTAAATATTTAATGAAGTCTCTTCACCCGTGGCACACAGGTGGACTACCGGACGGAGGATGCGACAGCCACTGCAGGCTCAGACTACGAGTTTGCCGAGGGCACGTTGGTCTTCAAGCCTGGCGAGACGACTAAAGACTTCACCGTCGGCGTCATAGACGACGACATCTTCGAGGAGGACGAGCACTTCTACGTGCGCCTCAGCAACCCCCGCATCGTCCACCGGGCCGAGGTCTCCGTCCTGGAGCCCAACTCCATCACGTCCAGCAACAGCACGGTCGGCATCTCCTCCCACGTCCCTCCCAAGGCGGCCCTGGGGAACGCCCCCGTTGCCACCGTCACCATCTACGACGATGACCACGCCGGCATCTTCACGTTCGAGAGCAACTCCACCAGGGTGAGCGAGAGCGTCGGCAACATGCAGGTGAAGGTGCACAGGACGTCCGGTGCCAGGGGGAAGGTGGCCGTGCCTTACCACACCGTCGAGGGCACCGCCAAAGCAGGGGAGGACTACGACGAGGTTTCCGGCAAGCTGGAGTTCCAGAACGACGAAACCATGTAAGCGCTAATTCCTTTATTGTTTTTTAAAAACGCTCCACATCTCTTTGATTAAACATCACAGCCCACACATTGGTTATGCTAAACAGTCCTTCCATAGTATTGTACGCGGCCTATTCTGGTAACGGATGCAGGGGCTATTTTTATGAGTCACAGATACCTTCGCTTGGAGAAATTTAGATCTTTCAGGGGGGGAAGAGGTGGGAGGATAAGAGGATATAATTGAGCCGCAGATAATGACACATTGTAGCAGATGTAAGAGAAGAAGAAGGAGAATTAGAGGCACAGGAACAGCACTCTGTGAATGAATAGAGAGAATTAAAAACGTAGCCCGTTGGGATTTGCGCTGAGCGTCTGATGTTTTGCTGTGGTGCTACACTGTAGATCCCCTGCAGAAAACAAAGGGGAGAGCATGTGAGCGATAGAGTAGCGAGGATGGAAATCAAGAAAAGTGAGGAAGGGACAGAGGAAGCTTCACAAACAGGTGTGTGAGATGCAAACCTGTGTGATTCTTCCAACAACAGGACTCAGAGGCAGATGAAAAGGATCGCACAGGCCCAAAGACACAGCTCAAATCAAATTACTGGCCTTTTTTCCCCTCACTGACGTTAAGTCAAGCTAAACATTTGCTATTTTGGAAAAATTAGGTCAGAACGAGAGAGACTTTGTTTTAGCTTTCTTCAGATTCATAGGTTTACGTATATTTCATTTGTATTTGGTAGATATAACGTTGAAACTGCATGATTAAGGTCAAATAATTTGAATATCCTTCCACAAGATTCTCATGGTAGTAAGCTAGACATTTAGCTTCGTCTGGTTTGTTGGCAACTTTTCTCTCACACACTTTTTCAGCTACAAATTCCACCTTTAGAAAAATCAGACCTCCAGCAAATTTCTGGCTGTTGGATTCTCATGTGAGCTCTGTTTTCCATAATAATGAGGACATTTGCTAACGGTAATCTCTTCCTGCTGCTTTTGGACCAGTGGCTTCCTCCTCACTGAGTGGCATTCAGTGTGGGACTCGTGTAATGTGAATAGTAACACTTTCATAGCAGCTAAAATTAGCATGGCAAATTTTATCTGATTTTTATGTAATTTTTGTGGGACATGCGTCATAATTATGCACCATAAAAAGACAGACGTGGAAATCAGGGTGTAAAAAAAATGGCTGAAAATTAAAATTATGATCTTATGAAAGATGTCTGTGACACTGGAGCGAATCACATCGCAGTCCCACCACTCCTGGTTGGGTCAGAAGTTGCAGTCATCGCTCCCCAAAGGTCATCGCTTTATTTTTATTAGCTTTCTTCTCGCTATTACGATTTTGAGACGATACTGTCGGCTCTCGTTGCCGAGTAAACTTTATGAATTGATCCATAAACGACTCCATCCGTTATTACTTCCGTAAGCAGAGCGCCGCTGTGTGACATCAAAGTTCTTCTTCTGTGCATGTGGGTCGCTTTGGGGACACAAACCATTCACACAGAAGTCTCACTGCAGTCGGGTTTAATTAGTAGTATGAACAACCACACACACACACACACACACACACAATAAAAAATGGATTTCAGCAAAAAAAAAAAAAAGGAAAACCTTCAGTGTGAAAGCAGCCTTTAATGTTTGTGAAATTCACAATTTCAAGAAAGTAAATTAAAAAAACCTTTAATTATTCTGAGATTTTGAAATAAAAATCATTTCATACCAACAGTGTACTCCATAGATACTCTTTGTCTCCGGTATGTATCTGGTGTTAATAGTAACTACATGTGGGTTGTATTTGCTTTATGACTTCACAAGCAGAGGTCTCTCTCTCTCTGGTTATTTTTCTCCACTAATTTTAAAGACAAACAAAACCCTCGCCATGTCAAGCTCATCACAGAACGAGTATCAGCTCCACTGGAGGACAAAAGGAAAGAACGGAGCGCGTCTGCGCGCGCAGAGTTTCAGGGGCCGCGTGTAGGTGGATGGTGTGGGCCGGCTCGAGTGGGAGGGAAGGCAGGTGAATACACGGTGTCAGAGAGAAGCGAGAGCTCACCTAATTTCTCTACTTTGCCTCGCAGTAGTGGAGGTGAGATGCGAACAGATCGCTTTTGTATGTTTGGCTGTTTGCTTCTGTCTTCTCATTTGCAATCAAGGCCGCGCTTGTGTGTGTGTGTGTGTGTGTGTGTGTGTGTGTGCTGATTCCACTTCTTTAAACCTCGAACATCAAACAAAAACGCCACTCCGAAGGCGAATTAAAGGGAACTTCTTTAGCATCCGAGGCAATTAAAGCGGCTGACGAGGGGTCGAGAGAGTCCCGCAAGTTCTGAGCACGCTGCAGACGGCTGCACATAATGAGTCAGGAGTGTATAACAATGAGAGATTAAAGTCGGGCAACGTGTGTCTGCAATCAAACAGGAAGCTGAGCTGTGGATAAAATCCTCAACTACCGAACCAAGATCATCGGGCTTACAGAGACTCAAGCGTCCTGCCTAATTTATGACAGGAGTAATGCTTCCTTCAGATGACGACGGAGAGCGAGATCCGGCAAGGGAGGACAGTTTGCCACAAGAAGTTCATGAGAAGAATACAAGTTGCAGATGTAAGGGGGGGGAAAAATGCCGAAGCGACGGCAAGCTTTTCCCGTGCTCCTCGGATTAAAAGGGCGACGTGAAGGAAGGGAAGCACGAAGGCGAGGGCGCTTTGATCATGAGTGGAAATCTTTGATTAAAGATCCCCGATCTCAAGAGGCAGATCGAGTAAAGCCCCCCCCCCACCACCAACTTGCGCTGAGTTAATTTTCCGATCCCATTTCTATGAAAAGCCTTCATCTCTGCGCGCCACCTGAGGCTGTTTGTGCCTCCTTCATGCTGAACGTCAGGGTGCAGGATTGTGATTAGGCAAGAGCTTAAGTCAGAGTCCACATGGTGTTCGTTTTCACTTCGGAAAATGGCAAACAGGGAATCAAAAACTAATTAATGTTAAGTGTGTGGACGTGCAGAGGTTTTCAAAGGGTTCGTGCTGTAGTACATAGGACTTAATAAAACTTCCTTCCTTTGGTCCCAGCCAACATGCCTAGGTGGGACCCAATGTGGGGGAAAGGAGGGTTGATATATGGGTCCCATATGGGTTTGTATGTGGGTTCCACGATGGCCCCACATGGGTTTGCCCATGTAGGGCCACAGCCCACATGGGCGCTACATGGGCCCTAAATGGACAAACCCATGTGGGCCACCACCATATAGGGCCCATGTAGGGCCCATGTGGGCTGTAGCCCTACATGGGCAAACCCATATGGGACCCATATAGTCTGCCCTCCTTTTCTCCATTTGGGGCCCACATAGGCATGCTGGCAGGGGTTTTGCCATTTCTCCATGCGTTGTTTTCAACCAGTCACACGGTTCAGTTTTACATGTTGGAGTGAAAAATAAGCTGTAACTAGAACGCGAGTTGCAGTTGAATTTCCATTTTGCCGCTAATTGTCCAGGTGTTTCACTATCAACAGAGACTTGCCACTTTCTCTGCAGTGAGTCTGTGGCGCTTGCTGCTCTGCGGGCTGCCAGAGTTCGTGTTTCAAACAGAGCTGGCTTTTCTTACCCAATATTTCCCTGAGCGACCGGGAGAAAGAGCTGACACTCTGCAGCGGCCCTCTAGGGCCCTCTGTATCCTCTCTGTATTTGTGTGCGCCGGCTACAGCGTCTCAGGCTTTCCGCTCGCTCCTTTCTGTGTGCAAGTCGACGTTTGAGCACGCAGGAGAGAAAAACGGGGAGGAAGCCAAGTTTTTAAGCTTTTGACACAGAGCCAGGAGGAACGGCTTAAAATCTCTGCATGCAGTTGAATCATATTTGCCATCTAAATGCATCCCTGTGGTAACTAGATTATGGTGTACAAACACAAACCTCCGAACTGAAATAAACAAGCGGACATGGAAAAGTGTTTTGATTCCGCGCTTGCGGATTACAGGAAGATCCGTATCGAGGATAAGCTCGCATCTGGTTTTGTTTGCCACCTCACAATGTGCAACCCGTTCGCTCCTGTCAGGGTTGAAGTGGGTAATCGGAGCAATTACATAACCAAAGATGAAAGAGTTGAGGCTGTTTCCCTTCTTAAAAGGGGGAAACCAATATCCTGATACGATGCTCTTTGTTGCTCACATCTGACGTAGTCACGATCAGTAACACTTTTGGATGCACACAGATGACAGGGGATCTACAAGTCAAATTTAAGACTTTTTAAGAGCTTTTGTAATGTCACCTTGAATGAAATCTAAGACAGAAAAAACTCTAAATGTTGTGGATGATTGGGTGATCCTGTTCTACGCAACCGAGCATCGTAAAAAACCCCATAGTGCCTAGCTTAAAGGCACCTAGCCTCGCATGGATTGGCAACAGAAGCGAGTCAGTGGTGAAAACAAACGACGTACAACTGCTGATAAATGCTAACAGGATAGCTAACCAGCTTGTTATTAAGGGTATATTAGCAGCTAGCTAGCGGTAGCCTCAATCGCCACAAAGTCAAACTTTTGCCAAACTGGACCGTCCCATTAGAAAAACTACACATACAAGATTAAATAGATAAATTCAAGTCCTGTAATTAACATATTGAAGACTAAATCACATTTTTAATTCAGTTTAAGACATTTTAATTTTAGATATGTGGATTTAAGACTTTTGAAGGATGCGCGGACAGCCAGGATAAGATGGAAGCGGTGCGGTAAACGTTGACTAACAGGTTCACAGCAGCCGCTCCGCAGCTCACAAATCATCTTCCTTCCAGTCTCATTAAGGGAGAAGGAAAGCTCTGCTTCATTTACGCAGCACTAATGTGAGACTGCCATTCTTCTAGCTTGTGCACCAAGCAATCTAATTTTAACTCTCCAGGTAATTACGCTACACTTATTTTATTTATTTATTTCCTTTTTAGCTTTGTGGCACAGCTTTGCACAGATATGATTCACAGTTAATCCAAACTGAAATATCTTAATAAGTATTCAGCACATTTGTGTGTTTGCTGCTAGCATT